AGCCCCTGCTCCTGCCCCACTCCCTCCCTCACTGTGGGGGCCTTGATCTGCACCCCACCTCACAGCGGTGAGGAAGGGAGTAGGGCTGGGGCTGGGGATTGAGACCCCCACAGTGCAGGAGGGAGTGGAGCAGGGGCAGGGGCAAATCATTCACCCCTTTCCCACTTTCTCCTGCACAGTGGGGATTGTCCCACAACCTGGCCAGGGCCCCACTCACTGTGAATGGGGCCCTGGTCGATCTGGGTTGTGGGACAATTGGAGCCCAGCAGCTCATCCAGGGGAACAGTGCGGGGGAGCATGGGGGGGGGGGGGCCAGGGCCCCCCCCCGGCTCCCTCACAGTGTGCGCAGTGACGGGAGCCGTCCTCCCGTGACCCTGGATGAGCTGCTGGGTTCTGGTTGTCCCATGACCCAGCCTAGTTGGGGCTCCATTGCTGGTGAATGGGGCTCCAGCCGGGCTGGATCATGGGACAATCCCTGAAGTGCAGGAGGTGAGTGGGGCAGGGGTGAACGATTTGTCCCTGCCCCTTCTTCTGCCTCTGTCCCACTCCCTCCTACACTGTGGTGGGGGTCTTGACACCTAGTCCAACCCCCCTGTCAGAACAGCCCGGTGCTGCTCTGGCCCCAGCCCGCAGCATCCCACAGCCCGTCCTACCCATGTGCTGATCTCACGGGGGTGTACGTAGCAGCGGTGCGGGGGGGGGGGTGCGCAAACAGGGGTAGGGCCTTGCGTGCGGCAGCCACCGCCACTGCCCTGCTTGGCTGCACGCTGCACCACTTTACCATGGCAAGTCACAGCTCTATGGGTTGCTGACAGGCCTCATGCCTGGCCAATCGCGTGCTGCCAGGGATGGGCACAAAACATACCCCCCCCCACCATTCAGACCCTTGCAGCTCTGCTGTAAGGGGGTGGTGAACTAGGGTGGGGGCGAGGATGCACCATGGTGTGCTGGGCGAAGCTGGTGGTGCCCGGTGTGTCCCTTCCCGTTCCTGTCCCCTTCCCCCAGGTAAGAGGCAAAGTGTGGGAACACCCCAGGGCGCGCTCCATCCCCGTCCTCTCACATGTACCCCCTACAACCTTTTTAAGTAACCCTGGGGGTATGCGTACCCCTGGTTGACAACCCCTGTCCCAGAAGACTACAATACTGCTCTGCTCTACATAGCTTGTTGCCAAAGCTCCTTGGGGTTAGTACTTTGGTTATGATACCTGCCCATTCACAACATAGATGCCTTTTCCTTAGCAGTAAACCTGTGGCATGTCTACTTTGTTAGGAGTTTTCTATTGACTTGACAGATATAACTCAGGGCTGGATGTGGACTCTAGTGGTTGTTTTTTTGGAGTCCCAAGGATAAGTTTGTCTTAGTGTCATGGGTAGTTTGATACAGTAAAATTGCCCAGCTCATGGGCTGAATGTTTTGAAATTTGCTTGTCAAATTATTCCTTTTCTACTTTAAACAGTGTTGGGTGCTTGTATTTATTGTTGCCTCTGTACTAGCTGCTGTTGGGAGTATAACTGGGATGTCAGCAGTCAGAGCAGTGGTTTTCACCCAACGTGCTGCGGCTCCCTGGGGTGCTGTGAAATCTTTTTAAGGGTCCCATGGTGTGCTGTGCAATATTAGCATTGTTAGTTGTACAAATACCTACACAGGATTCACAGGTAAGTCCAGGATTTCAAATAGGAATCCATAGTATCAAAAATATTCTGACCTCCTGTGATCTTTGAAATAGAAGAACTGCTGTATTATTTTTCTGTAGTCAGACAAGTTAAAAGCAAGAGCTGACATTTTCCAAGGAATGCCTTGAGGCTAACAAGGAGTGCTTTCAGTCAAGAAAAGGTTGCAAATCCCTACACCCTGCACCAGCTTGGGAGTCAGGAATAAGCAAGGCCAGGAGCCAGAGACTGGGAATTAGGCACAGATTCAGGCAGGAACCAAAGAGTCAAAAAGTGAGCAGAGTTGCAGGAGTACAGTCAAAGATCAAGAAGAGCCCTACACCTTGGCACTCCCTTCTCCTGTTCTTGATTTAAATAGGGAAAGTGTTTGGTCAGGCATTGTGGACCAGCCATCTGGGTCTCAGGGAGCCTCAGGCACTGATGAAGGTCTCAACAACTGCCTGGGAGGGTATGGGTGGCAGTCAGGAGAAAGCTACTATGTGGTCAAGGCCATTCTCCCAGGTTCAAGGTTGCAGGCCCTAGGGCTGTAAATGTCATTATGCAGCTGCCTTCCCTGAAATTCCAACTGTTAAACAAAGAACATACACTGATTACTGTATCGACGCTGCAGCTGCTTTTGCTATACATACCTGATCTATTAGGCAGCGCTGAAATGTGTTGCAGACTAATCTTTCATTGTACTGTTGGCACTTCCACAGACATGAGTTGTTTGATTCTGTGTACCTCAAATGGAAAAAATAAATGTTTAGATATGCTGCTGCATGGCAGGCAGGTCCATAGCTGTGTGAGCAGGGGAAGTATCTTGTGGCTCTATCACATCCTGTTGGATACTGACTTGGAAGTATCTTGTGGCTCTATCACATACTGTTCATGGCCATTTAACTTATTTGTACCCCAGCTTCCTGATTATATTAAAGTTTCTTGAGAGACCTATTAATGTTTGTAAAATGCAGGCAATATGGGTATTCACCATGTAAAAGGCAGGGATAATCTGTTTGCACTGGGAAGTTTCTAGCAGTCTGCACTGGCAACATGACTTCACCCAACTAGGACTGCCTTTTTTTAAAGAGAGATCAAGACCTTATTCTTCACGCAATATTTAGGAAGTGGTATGCTTCTGAAGGGTGCTCTCTTTAAGAAATAGTAATGCACTTCCACCAGTTTTCAGCGTAGCTCACCGTTGGGAGATATATGATTGAGCATAGTTGATTTTCTTTCTCTTTTTGCTTTACTAGCACTTCCTGGGCTAAGCTAGAGATACAAAAGGTCCCTTCAAACTAGCGGTGTCACCAGGAATTCAGATGAAACTATTAAACAACCACAGTCGTACTGCCTTGGTTTGCTCACGTCTGACTCCTCTTGACCTTAGGCCCATTGTGGTCTCACGTTTGTTTTCTCTGTCTCCACAGAATGCAATGAACTTGCCACCTGACAAAGCCAGGCTACTGCGGCAATATGACAATGAGAAGAAATGGGAGCTGATCTGCGATCAGGTAAAGAGCACTGAGGAGGGCTTCTAGCATATGGCACAAGCTGGGTTTCTTCTGTATTTTCCTGGTCTTTTAGAGAGCACCAAAGTCAAGGTCAAACATTCCCTTGGCTTTTTCATTTCTGTGGCTTTATGTGCCATTACTTGTAGCATCCTTTTGAAACTTTACAACAGTACTTCTTAATCATCTGTAAAATAACAATTTTCCCCATCTGATCTTATTCTCTCCCATTTGAATGTTTTGCTGTTTGTCGTGGTCTAAATTTAAGGAGAATGGCCTTTCTTCACCTTTTGTCTGCTTGTTTGAATTTGGTTTGAGCTAATAATTCTTTCTGTGTCTTGGTGAATGGTTTTGGTCCAGTTTGTATACAATTCTCATATCACAAAACTATTATCATGATTGGCATAAACTAGCAACCTTAGCAAAGTGTGAATGGGCATGTGGCCTGAATTATTTCTTCATTTCCAGAGGTTGAGTAACAACTTGAGCTTAAACATCACCATATGCCAAGAGAGCTATGTGCACCAGCAGCACTGTTGATGCTGGCTCTCAGAACAATGTATTACAGTTAACATGTGGGCTCTGTAGCACCAAAAGGGAAACAGAGTATTTAAAGAATTCAGAGCACAATAAAAGGAAGACAGATATCTGAGCTAAGACCTAAATAGGGCCCTACCATAAGGACAGTCATCAATGAGAGCATGGACTCTGAACACGTAAGTGCCCAGAGGCATGTTCTTACCCTGTGGTAAATGAAAGAAAGCGTATCCGTCATTTTCCTATCTCACATTCCCCACGGGGTAAGAGCATGCACATGGACAGTTACTGTGGAGTAAATGACTCTGTGTAACCTCACACCCTAACTCTGTGGTTCTCTACTTTTTTAGGCTCAAGGCACCCCTCATTAGATGCAAGTTCTTAGCTTTCACTTAGTTTCTGACTATGGAAAAATAACAGAACAGTTCTTCTGTTGCAAAGAACTCAGAAAGACCACCGCACAGCACAATATTTTTGACATGGTAGATTCCTTTTTGAAATCTCCTGAGTTTATCTTGTGAATCTTATGTAGGTGTTTTCCCACCTACTAGTGCTAATATTACCCAGCACCCCTGCTGGCTCTGAAAGGATCTCCTGGCACTCCAGGGTGCCATGACATCCTGGTTGAGAATCACTGCCCCAGTTATCTTGCAGTAACTTGTTGTGGACCTATTCCACAGAAGGCAAACCCATATGGAGTCATGAAATGTAACCACAAAAAAGAGTCATAGTATAGGAACTTGGATTGAGAGTTCTGGAGGGTGTATAATCATGTTGAGGGATCATGATTAGGGCAGAAACAAGTTTTGTGGGACACGTTGCATTCATCCCACAGAATAGTTGAGCTTACAATGAAGCCAGAGTATCTTGAAGTAAACTGCGATACAGAGCTCTCTGCTTGCATTCCTTGAATACTTTATGCAGAGCGTTTTTAAGCACTGTACTACTGAAAATTACACATTACTGAGATACTCCAGCAAATTGTTTAGTTGACTGTAAGTAACTAGTTTCCCAAGGGATGGTTGCCTAAAGCATGTACCATCAAAAGGTGAGCATCTCTGGATCGTTACCTTTGTCCTTGGTTTTATACCACGTCAGTTTGCATGGTACAAAATTTTAGTAACAGGAAGTGTATCATGTGGCCTAGATACTCATTCACATCTCAGGGTGAATCATGCAGTTTTAGCCTACAACTGCTGCCACTTCATGTAAGTCTTGATGTCTACGATATGCAGGTAACAGGGGTGAGCGAGATAGGAAGCATATACAGCACAGGATAGGGGAGGCAGAAATGCAGGCTTTAGTGGCATTTTAAAACCACACTGAGTCTGCTTAGTCAAGATAGGGCCCCTTTTTCACTGTTCTGAAGGCAGGGCAAAGAGCTGTCCTAACCATGCTGAGGATTTCTCACATGGGAGGATCCTGAAGTGGGGAATCAGAATAGTTGGCTGTGTGCCAGTAGTCTGAACCCAGCCAGTATATAGGGGACATACTTTGGGGCATTCAGGGAAGTGTGACTGGAGTTCTGCTATCTGTCACAACTCCCCAGCTGCCCTGTCAACCCCCTTGAGAGTGATTGCCAGCCAGTGTAAATTAGAGCTGCCAGGAGGCAGGCATCTATAAAGGCAGCATAATACAGCATATGGTGCATGAAATATTTATATTTGTTCACATAATTATGGCACATGGCTAACACACATTTTCCCACGAATAAATTGTGTGTGTAATATATGCTTTCAATTTTAATTGAAGCAGAGCTTGAATTGTTGTTTTGTATTGACATCATCAATTACCCTATAACATTTTTCATCTTTTTATTTTGTAAAAACAAAAAAAGTACGTGCATTAACAAAACACCCGAGGGAAGTTAACTTTCATTTCATGTGGTTCTGTGCTGGTTTTGAACTAATGACCTGAAGGAAAAAGGATTTTAGATTAGAGAAGTCTCTCTCGCTATGCTTTTTTTGAGCAGTTCATAAGGCATTTGCTGATATTCTGTCTCTGACTAGTCTGTGGAGAACTGGGTAAAGAGGTAAAAGGAAATGTGGAATATAGTGAATTGAAGTTGGAGAACCATGAGTCTCATGCTTTATTGAAATTTTTATGGGAAGGGGCAAATTATCCCAAAACTGAACATGGAGGAATTATAACACCTTCTTCTGAAGTATCTGATTCTGATGACTGTCATAGGATACTACAGTAGATGGACCATGGGTGCAAAGCAGGTTTACTATTCTTTTGTTACTGCAAAACTTCTGACTATGCTTGCCCTTTTACTGCTATGCTAAAAGCAGGTTCCTTGCTTGAGACTGAATGAGGATAATAAATTATCAGTGTAATAGTATTATTGGTGCTGGTGTTTTTTTTACAGTTGCAGTAGTTCCCGATTTTGCAGGGTACTGTACAAACACAGAATAGCGGGCAGTCCCTGCCCCAGAGTTTCTACTCTAATACAGTGTTTCTCAACCCATGGGCCACGATCCAAAAGTGGGTCGCAAGAATATATGAAAGGGTCATGAACAAATTTAAAAAATGGATTCTCTTTTAAAGGAGAAAAATGTGGCAACCCGTGGCTTTTCCCTTACAGGCCGGCGGAGTTCCAGCTGGGCCGTCCTTACCCCCTGCAGCCCCCACCCCACAAACCCACCCCGTACCCTACACACTGCGGGGCTGGGACCTGGGGGTGGGGGGTGGGGGGTAGCAGGTTGGGAATGAGCACTGGATCGGGACTGGCCATCAATGTTTACAAATGGGTCCCGGTACAAAAAAAAGTTAAGAACCGCTGCTCTAATAGATGAGAGGGATACAGGATGAGGGAAAGGGTATATAGCATGTAGATGGAGTGAGCCTGATGACACCAAATGTTATCAAAAGTCCTGGATTGCGAGGCAGTGGAGAATTGTCCCCTGGGTCCTCAAGAGGGTGTGGAGGGAAAAAAAGGTTTAGTTCTGTTGGTCTAGTCATTAACGGTTGCTGGTTTTATATTGGGAGAAGAGACCCGACGACACTTTTGAGAGCCAAAACAGCAGTCAGGCAAGAAAATATCCAAGATAGAGTGGCAGAGAAAGATTGATACTACGGAAATACAGAGCCGCAACCCATAGCTGCAAGTGCTTCAGCCTATGAGGGTTTTTATTGTGAGAGAGGAAAGGATGAGGCCATGGACAGATGTTCAGGGTAAACAGTGGCAAGTCTAGCTCTCCAAATTAAAAAAGCAAGCAAACAGCTCACTATGAATACATGACACAACTACTAAAAGAATGAAGGCCTGTCCCTAGATGAATTAGGGACAATTTTCTCAGGCTTTTAATGCCTACCTTGTATTATACAGCCTACTCATTCCTCATTCTTTCAGCGTTCAGCCTGGAATTTTGCTCCAGTCCTATGCCTCAAGCTTTACCTTTGTGTTCGGGTAATAGAGAAAGTGATAACATTTGATAAGGGTGATAATGTTTTTTGCATTTGGTTTAGGACATGTTAGTTCTCTGCAGTTATCCTTGATTGGTGCTTTTGGGCTTTTCAGCTTCGTGGGGTGAGAATAGGAGTGGGTGGGGAATATATTACAAAACTCTTTGATACCCCCTACTGGATTACTTATCATATGACATTGGAAGTCTCCATGAAGGTTTATTTCTTTGCCAGCAGGGTGTCTTCTGCATTTGGCGCTGCTGGTGATGTGTGGAGTAATAGATGTGGGAGGACTCAATGGGAAACAGATGCATGGTGGAAGTGCAGAAGCTTCCTGCCCAGAATGGCCATTTGTTGAGTTGTCTCAAGCTGTGTGTTTCTATTGTAAGGAAACCCCAAACCAGGAAAGTGTTTAACTTGGTGAAAGTCTTCCCTTTTAAGGATTAGTTACCAACATGGAGCCTAATGCAGGGTTCTAGAAAGGTTCCTTGAGTGTTTTCCACTTTTTGTAACAAGCCTAGGCCTTGGGTGGCATGAGTTTGGGTTTCACTTCTGTCAAACTCAGGTCAGTATGTAGCTGTGGGTGCAAAACGTGGTAGTTTCACCTGATACCAGTTCAGTTGTGGAGGCTTAAGTTTAGTTTTATTTTAAACTTCAGTGTTCATTGTAACTTGAAACTTGACTTGAAACTCTGGAAGTTCAAGCCTTTGGGAAATAAAATCTGAAAAGAGTTTGTGTAAAGCCTGCAAAACCAAACCCTATTTTTCACAGCTGTAGGGTGAAACCCTGATTCCATTGAAGACAGTGGCAAGACACCTGCTGACTTCAGTGAGGCTAGAGTTTGAATCCTAGTTATGCTTCACAGAGGTGAGAACCATTTTGGCATGTTGTCTGGCTGAAGTCTACAAAGTAAAGAGCTTTCACACTTGGAAGCTGGTGTTCTCGCATTAGGTTGCACAAAAATAAACAAATAGAGCCAAAATGGTCTTGTGTTAAGAAAAGATCGAATGCCACAGAAGGATCCAAACAATTTATGCTCACACTGAACAGATCTAAAT